CCACACTGCGCAATTAAGAATGTGGTTAATAAGGGAGGGTAAAAACAATGTTCTTGCATAATTACAGCAGCAGCGGTCAAAACAAACAGCATCGATTATCGCAATGATACCTGCATGCCTATCCAGTAACAAAGTTTAAAGTTGTGTTGAAAGTTTTATTGTTGATCCACGCTATAACCAAGGTTTCAGCTCTACCAAATAGTTGTTTATATCATAGACAGGAGCCCAACCAGCCACGTATTTGGAAGCTCCAGCTCCGCAGCCCCACGGTACGACTAACGTACCAGACCGCACGGTCTTTGTATATAATCCACCCCAACCACCGACAGAACCCCGTCCTCCCAGCCTTCCCTATCTCCCCCCTGCACCTACACGACACGGCAGCTACACGCACCTCCCATCCTAAGCAAACCACCACCGCATACAATACTTGAACTCACGCAACACTCCATAATAACCATGATCATCTACTCACACAACACAAAGGGGCTCAACACGCCTCACAAACGGCGAGTGCTACTGGACGATATAAAAAGCACGAAGGCAGACATAGTCTGCATTCAAGAAACGCACTTTGTCACTAACCGAATACCCACCTTCGCAACTAGAGACTACCCCACACAGTATCATGCCACGCACACTTCTAAATCCAGAGGGGTCTCCATACTGTTACATAACTCATTAACAGTGGAGACTCTGCGAGTCAAAACGGACAGCCAAGGTAGATACCTTATTCTTCAATGTATAATTAACAATGACCCACTCATTCTAGTATGCCTATACAGCCCAAATGACCAACAGCGCAACTTCCTCCATAAGGTCCTCAGCAAACTGCCAGAAGATTCAAATGATCCCAAGATTATCTGCGGAGACTATAACCATACTATGGACTCGCGAACAGACACAACAACCCCTGCCACATCAACAAGGCACCTCACACTGGGCCCAAACAACAAAGCATTCACAAAGCTTATACACGAAAATAGCCTATACGATGTTTGGCGAACTAAACACCCATCGGACAGAGAATACACATTCTTCTCGCACGTACACAAGACATATTCAAGAATAGACCACATCCTCGCCTCAGGCACGATACTACCGCTCATAGAGGACTGCTCAATAGGCAATATAGTCTGGTCTGACCACGCCCCAATTACACTGACCCTGCGATCCAACTACCAACATAGAGGTAAACCACCATGGCGCCTCAACGAAACACTCCTTCAGGACAAAGTGTTCACGACAAAATTGATGGAAAACCTGCAAGACTATTTTCACACCAACGATAACCCGGAGACCTCCATCTACAGTATCTGGCAGGCCCATAAAACTGTCCTGAGAGGTCAGCTGATCAGCCGAGCATCATACCTCAAACGCCAAAGGGACAAGGCACATATAGACCTTCTTCGACAGCTAAGAGACATCACGGCTGCACATTTTCTGAACCCATCGGACACGCATGCAAACGACATACAAAATATCACTAAACAAATCAATGTCTTAACTCTTGAGAAAACGGCCCACATCCTTACCAAACTGAAACTACGAACATACACGCAAGGTAACAGAGCAGGGAAACACTTGGCCAACTTACTCAAACAAAAGCAGGCCAACTCCAAAATCCCACACCTAATCACCAAAACTGGCGAGAAAATTCATAACCCACAAGACATCAATGACGATATGGACGACTACTACCACTCCCTCTACAACCTTAAAACAGATCCCACCCTACACCAACCCACCACACAAGAAATAGACGAATTCCTTCACACTATGGAACTCCCCACTCTAACGACAACACAAAAACACACTATACAACATCAGATCACCGAGCAAGAAATCATAGACACCATAAACTCCCTACCACCTGGAAAATCACCAGGCCCAGACGGACTACCCAACTCATATTACAAACAGTTCGCTACCTACAAAGAGTATACCACCACATCCTACAGACAGGGACCATGCCACAAGAAATGCTCATGGCCCATGTTGCCACCCTCCCCAAACCAGGGAAACCCCCAAACAAATGCCAAAATCTGCGCCCCATCTCGCTGTTAAACACGGACGTGAAAATTATAGCAAAAATCCTCTCAAACAGGCTAGCTCCCATAATTCCCTCACTTATTAAAGAAGACCAAGTAGGGTTTGTGAGGGGTAGACAAGGAGCGGACGGCACGCGAAAAACCCTGGACCTACTATACGTGATACAGCAAAAAAAGAGGCCCAGCGTCCTACTATCCCTAGATGCTGAAAAAGCCTTTGATAGGCTCCATTGGCCCTTCCTGTTGGCTGTCCTCCACAAGTTTGAATTTCCCCCACAATTTATATCACTCATTAAAGCACTATACTCTCAGCCAACAGCCCGAGTGGTAAACGGGGGTTTTATATCAAAACCCTTCCACATAACTAACGGCTCTAGACAGGGCTGCCCACTTTCCCCACTGCTGTACATCCTGGCGCTAGAACCCCTCACCCAACTCATACGAGACAACCCGAATATCCACGGTATTAAAACTGGGGACCAGGAGTACAAATTGTCCCTATTTGCGGATGATATCTTACTAACCCTGGAACAACCACATATCTCCCTGCCCAATTTCCATGCAATCCTCTCTAGATATAGCACCTGCTCATATTACAAGTTGAACATCACTAAGACTCTAGCCATGGGGATTAATATCCCGAGCCCTGTCCTGACAACCCTTAAATCCAATTTTAACTACGACTGGAGACAAGACAATATCAAATTTTTAGGAATAAACTTCACACCTACAACGAACACACTGCTCAAAGCGAACTATACTAAACTGCTTAAGGAAGTTAAATCCCTAATGCAAAGCTGGAGGGGGAAATATGTGTCCTGGACTGGACGAATAGCCTCGGTGAAGATGGTGATTCTACCCAAGATTCAATATCTGTTCCGCACACTCCCACTCCGACTCCCCAAAAAGTATCTGATGGAACTACAAAACGTCATAAACGACTTCGTCTGGGACAATAAAAAACCAAGGGTGTCCAAAGCCACAATGTACAAGCCACACGCCCAGGGCGGGATGGGCCTGCCCGAATTGGCGGGATACTACAGGGCAGCGCACATTGCTCCACTCATGGCTGCAACACACAGCCAGGTCCCCACAGCGTGGGCAAAACTGGAGGAAAGGCAAGCCCGGAAGATCCCAATCCAGACTCTAGCCTGGCTACCAAAAACTCACAGACCCAAAGCTTCAGAATTGCTCCCCACTACAGCACTAACCCTGTCCATATGGGACAATTACCGGAAAAAAAGAGGCGCGACAAACCTACTCTCCCCGGCGATGCCACTGGAGACACTCCGACAGCTTATCCCAGATTTCAATTATAAACTCTGGCAAAGGCACGGCATAACCACAATATCGCATATAATGCAAGGAAATAACCCCAAATCATTCTCAGAACTTCGCACAGAATTCAAGCTACCTAATACGGCGGTCTTTTCCTACCTCCAACTACAATCATGGATACGCATCCACACTCCGACACAACCTGCTGATCCTCCAAACCTCCATTGGACTAAATTGATGAAGATCTGCACAAGGGAAAAACCAGCGACAAAACTCATCTCCACATTATACGCCTCGGAACGCATAGAGACCCTAACGGGCCCACCTTCCTTTAAAGTGGCATGGGAACAAGACATCGGACACACACCCTCAAATGACCAATGGCAAAATATATACCAAGCTCATAAACGACTAACCCTCTGTACGACCCACCTAGAACTCTCACGCAAACTACTCTACAGGTGGTACCTAGTCCCTGCAAAACTCAAACATAGCTACCCCGATACATCGGACACATGTTGGAGATGTCAAGCGCACCGAGGCACCCTACTACACATATGGTGGCAATGCCCGCTACTACAACGATACTGGGCACAAGTTGCGAACCTGGCTACAAAATGCACCACGGTGCAGATAATCCCCACACCAGAAACATTCCTACTACTCTCACTCCCACAATTGCCACACCTGCACTTGAAGTATCTACTGTACCACATCTGCATTGCAGCCCTCACAGTCATTAGCAGAAAATGGAAGCAACAAATCACCCCAACACTCCACCAATGCATTGAGGTAATAGAATCAACCAAACTATATGAACTTATGGCAAGGAAATCGAGACAGTCTCACCCCTACTGGACTGAAGCATGGGACCTGTGGGACAAAACTAGACCGCAACAATCATATATAACACAACCCTGAAGCTGGAAACGGTACCTCCACGACAGGAGGCTGAACTCAAATGACAGACTGATACCTCACCACACTACTCCACACGGCATACACACCCATCCCAATTCCCCTCCTATCCCCTATCAACGCTATGATGAGACATCCATAACCATATGCAACACAATAACCAGGGCCATGCTAAGCTCTGCCCAGCCCGCACGACCCCATGACGAGGAAGCCCATATACTACACCATTAAAAAAGAAGATGACACTATGCACAAGACACCCCTCACACCACAAGGTGCTGTTACTAAGGGATAACTACAACTGTGCAAACCCTGACAAACTACTGTATTCAAACTGCAATGCCTTATGTGATGTTAACCCACCCTATTTACTTTCTGTACCCCCACCCCCTTTTCGACAAAATAAAAATTGTCAAATTAAAAAAAAAATACATAAAAATATATAACTGTGCAGCTATTTCATTAAACAGGTACATATCCCCAGATAGCTTAGATC